GGCAGACGCAGGATGGCCGCCGCCACAGCCGCCGCCGCCAAGGGCTGCCGCCAGCCTAGGGGCGCGGGGCCCGCGCGCTGCTGGCATTCCAGAATTGCCAGGGCCGCGCTGGCCCGATCATGTGGGCGCTGGCACAGCGCCCTCAGCAGCCGGCGGCGCTCCTGCTAGCAGAGATCCACTTGCAGCCGGGCGAGGCGCTGCCGCGGCTGCCAGGATACAGCAGGGTGTTTGTAGCAGCCCGGCCAGATGGGTACGGCGGCGTAGCTATCCTGCTGGCGGACAGCTGGAAGGTGGCGGCAGCGCTGTGGCGGAGCGACGCGGCTGACGGCCGGCTGTGGGTGCGGGTGCAGGGCGCGCTGCCTGGCGGGCTGCCGCTCTTCCTGGGCACCGCCTACCTGCCGCCCCAGGGCAGCCCCGGCTGCCCCGAGGATGTGCCGGCCTGGTTCCTGCGGCACGCGGATGTGCTGGCGGAGGCCGAGGCAGCTGGCGCAGCGCTGCACGCCATGGATGCCAACGGGCGCACCGCCTCCCTCCCTGACTGGCCAGACGGCGACGAAGACGCGGGCTGCCCTGCCCGCCGCAGCAGCGACACGGCGGCCCCCAACTCCCATGGCAGGCAGCTGCTCAGCCTCTGCCAAAGCAGCGCGGCCCGCATCTGCAACGGCAGAGTGCCGGGCACCACCAGCGACGACGCCACCAGCTTCGGCAGCCGCGGCACCGGCAGGGCGGTGGTTGACTACTGGCTGGCCAGCGCCAGCCTCCTGCCGCGGCTGCCCACCATGGCGGTGGACAGCTGGGGCCTGGCAGCGCAGCACTCCGACCACGCAACGCTCCTGCTGGAGCTAGCAGCACCCCCGGCGGTACAGCGGGACAGCACGGCGCAGCAGGAGCACACCTACGCACCCCCGCAGCAGCGCCAATTCGAGCTGGGGACAGCTGAGCAGCTGGCAGCAGCCGTGGCGCTCCTCGCAGGCACGCAGAGGCAGCTGGATGCCCTGGCAGCGGCAGCGGAGTCAGCGGCCAGCCCTGCAGCCCTGGAGCAGCTGGCAGCGGCATTTGCTGAGCTCATGGTGGAGACCCTGGATGGCGCAGGCATGCGGCAGCGCAGCAGCAACGGCGGCGCCCAGCGACCACACTCCCTCCCCCGCAGCCTACAACGGCAGTACGGCATCCGCGACGCAAGAAGGGCGCAACGCAATGCGGTGCAGCAGGCAGCTGTTGCGCAGCAACGTGGCATCGGCCCTGAGCAGCAGGACGCAGCCCTGCGGCGGGAGGTGGGACGCTGCCGCAACCGCCTGAAGCGCCGGCTGGTGGCAGCGTGGCACAAGTGCCAAGCCCTCCGCGGCGAGAAGCTGGAGCAGCTGGCCAAAACGGACCCACAAGCCTTCTTCTTCAGGCTCAAGCCCCAAGCCGCCAAG